CGGCAAGCCACATGGCATGAACTTGGGGACACAGAGAACTGTTACTGCATTCCAGCTTACTGAGCGGGAGGCCTTGGCAAATCATTAACCATCCTGAATCCATTTGTAAAATAGGATAACAATATCTACCTTCTAAGGTTGTCATTAGTGTAATTTGTGCATCCTAGGTAACAACCATACTTGGCAGTTTGTCCAAATCTACTAGGTCCCTTGCCCCTACCTGCCGCAGAGCAGACGATTCCTTCTTCTTGTCTGTTGTTTTTCATGTCTTCTGGAGGGAGAACTGTCACAGACAATGTCCCAGCTGCTGTGTTCAGCCCTTGACTGATGCTGGTCTAATATATTTTAATGCCCCCATACCATCTGCCATAGGTAGAACATCTACCCAGAGATCCCATAACGACACTGTCCTGTCCTTGACCTCCAACTCTGCTAGACGCATCTACTTTTGCTGCCACTGCAGCTGAAATTCTTTCCTTCCTCTTCCTACCGTTTTCATTCCACAGAGAGAAGGTTCAGCAGCATAGGGGCTTGGGGCCTTAGTAACACAATCATTCTAGGTTGGTTGGTTTGTATTTGTTTCGAACGACATAGCCCCCTCCTTGCGGGACACACAGTTATTCCTCCAAGGGGCTGCACTGAGTTCAAGTGCATCCACCTGCTTTATGCAGAACCACTGCCCACTTTCCACCACAGGGCCTGTGATGAATCAACCCATCGTGCCTGACTTCTTGATTTTTTTTTGAGACAGGGTCTTACTCTGTTGCCCAGGCTGGAGTGGTAGTGGCACAATCACAGCTCACTGCAGCCTTGACTCCCAGAACTCAGGTGACCTTCCCACCTCAGCTTCCTGGATAGTTGGGACTACGAGTGCATGCCACCCCACCCAGCTAATTTTTCTATTTTTTGTAGAGATGGGGTTTCACCACATTGCCCAGGCTGGTTTTGAACTCCTGGGCTCAAGAGATCTGCACGTTGGCTTCCTAAAATACTGGGATTGCAGGTGTATGCCATCGTGCCCAGCTCCTAACTTCTTGATTTAAGGTGATTTTCTTTCAGTTACCTTGTCTCTCTCTATAACCTGACTTCCAGTTGTGACCACCCTACCTCTCATCCAATACATCCTTAATATGTTTAAACCTAAGTTATGGAAAGGAGTTGAATTAATGTAGGGTCCATGTTTCATATGCAAACTAGAAGACGGTGAACACCCTGGTAGAAGTTTCACCCCATTGCTTGGAGTCAGCTGTGGATCCTGTTACAGATAGATTAAGGAAAACATACATAAAGAATCTAGCAGTCTTACTCTGTCGCCCAGGCTGGAGCACAGTGGCACGATCTCGGTTCACTAGAGTCTCCACCTCCTGGTTTCAAGCAATTATCCCGTCTCAGACTCCCAAGTAGCTGGGATTACAGGCGCCTCCCACCATGCCTGGCTAGTTTTGTATTTTTAATAGAGACGCGTTTCACCTGTTGGCCTTAAGCTCCTAACCTCAGGTGATCTGCCTGTCTCGGCCTCCCAAAGTGCTGAGATCACAGGCCTGAGCCACCACATCCAGCCTAAATTGTCTTTTTTTATGCAATTATATTTATGGTTAATATGGCTGAGGTCAGTAACTCAAGGTCATGGCTTCAGCAATTCTCTCCCTAGTCCAAAATCAAGGTTTTTTCTCCTCTGGATTTACCCCATTAGCATACAAATGTACTTATCACCTGCGGGGGTGGGGGCAGCTAGATTTTCCTTGCTATTATTCTTCTTAGCAAACAATATATTTTATCATACACTCAGCATATCTCAACAACCTGATCCTGTTGGACCCTGGCTTCCCCATTCCTCCTCTCCCTGGCCTGTTAGCACCCACCAGGCATCTTGGCCAAGACACTGGGGTTATTAATTACCTGTGTTCCCTTAATACACTGTGCTTTCCCCTTACACATCTTTTCCTAGGATAGAGTGTCTGCCGTGAATGCCTTATCTCTCATTCCATGTTCCTTAAACATTTCAAAGTTCAGCTCAAACATGTCCCCAACCACTTTATTTTCACCATTCAACAAACACCTAAAGAGTTCTTACCAGGCAAGAGTACGCATGCCCTGCTCACTGGGAACCCAGTCTATCAGGAGTGAGAGCCAAAGGTCAGTTCATCCTACCTCCCTTCCAAGAGCTGAGCTTCTGAAAGATAGGGTGTACAACTCTGCATAAACATTGTTTTAGGCACAACTGGGGCTCGATGACTACTGAATACATAAATGGAGAAAATAAAATGTTTATTTCCCATACTCTCAATTCACCTACTCGGCAAATATTGACTAAGTATCTTTATTTTATAAGAGACAGGGTCTTACTCTGTCACCCAGGCTAGAGTACAGTGGCCTAATTACAGCTCACCGTGGCCTTGAACTGCTGGGCTTAAGCCATCCACTCACCTTAGCCTCCTTCCCAAGTAACTAGGGGAATGCCCAGCGTAGTACATAATATGTGTTAGGAATATCACACAACTCTGAAAAGTTACAGCTTTAAGGGACAGACTCTACCTATAATCTAGTCCCACCACTTCATAGACATCAGGGGTGTCTACATCTGTGCACTTTATCTGGAGAGTGAGGTGCTGCATGCTTTGAAATCAGGCTCATGTGCATACAAACCCACCCTTTGGAGTACATCAGTATTCAGTTAAGAGAACACATCTGACTTCCCAATTCATTGGCAAATCCCAAGAGCTTTCCTAAGAGCTTATTTTGTTAACTATTTTTTTCAATCCAACAATAACATTTGTTGGAGGCCTAGATAGGCCAATGAGTGTGTTTTGGAGATGCAGAGATACAGAGGCAAAGTCTCCATCCTAGAAGAACTCAATCAAGTTGGGGAGCTATCACTGTGAATGTAGTATTGATAAAGTATGGTGAGAGATTTGAAAGGGGAGGTCACAAAAGTAATCTTCAGAATCAGAAAAAGAGTATCTTTTTGCAAGAAACAGATTTTCCTTCAGTAAATGAACCTTTGAAATGTCATGGTTACCTCCTCTCCTAGGGAAAGCCTGAGAAAGTGAAAATGCCCGACAGCCTCCCTGTGTACAGAGGGTAAGGGTAGAGTGACCCAGGCAGGAGGATGGTCAAACACTGCAAGTCTCACCCCTTCCTATGAGAGCACTCCCCTGGGGGCCTTTGCAAGCATCCCCTCTCAATAGATAGTATCCTGCTGGTTAAGAACATTCCAAACCTAAATAGAAAAGTTGCCGTGTTCGCGGTGGCTCACGCCTATAATCCCAGCACTTTGGGAGGCTGAGATGGGCGGATCACCTGAGGTCAGGAGCTTGAGACCAGCCTGACCAATATGGTGAAACCCCATCTTTAAAAAAAAAAAAAGAAAAGAAAAGTTGCCCTGTTATCCACCCATTTCAATTGATCCAAAGCTTGCTACTTCCCATTTAGGTTCCTTATCTAGAAGTGACCCCACACGCTTACCCAAGGGCAAAAGATTTTTAGAGTGATCTGGAGAAAATGGAGAAGCAAGAATAACAGTAAATCCCCTGGAAGTTTCATTCATTTCTCTCTCACTAAGTTGCTTTTGTCATGTAGTTAGTTATATGGGTCAGAACACAGAGGCCATAACTAAAACAAAGTTGACCTCCATCGTATTCATTACATGTCCCCTTTCACATTGTGATTTGGATTTCATCTGTACAGAAGTTCTGTAAAGAAGTCTCTCCATTAGAGGAAAGAACACTTTCAGCTTGTAATAGATAGCTCCACCCCACGATATCATGGTATTTTTAGGGTTAACTAATACACATTTGAAAAGTGATCAGGCCGGGCGCGGTGGCTCAAGCCTGTAATCCCAGCACTTTGGGAGGCCGAGGCGGGTGGATCACGAGGTCAAGAGATCGAGACCATCCTGGTCAACATGGTGAAACCCCGTCTCTACTAAAAATAC